TCCATCAAATTCTAGAGCGCTTTTGCCAAGCCTCCAACTGCTACTTCTTGAGCGCAGCGATCCCGTTCACCTGTCGGTTCATTGACCATCACGCGGACATAGCTCCACAAAACACTCTAGAGATCTCGGACAAAATTGAGATGGACTTCCCATATTGGATTTAGAATATGCATGGGGGTGCGCGAACGTGCCACCAACCACCACAAGCCTTCAGGCGGCTCTGTCAAGTTCTGAGCTTCTGGTTCTTCAGCAGCACCATCATCTGGTCCTGGCAGCAAGCACTCCATTGCAATTGAATGGCATGTATACTGCAGTTGTCATTGCTTGGATATCTCTGAATGCCCTTCCACTTTCTAGTCTCTCTCAAGCCTCCAGTCTTAGGTGCCAATTCTTCATCATTGTCAGGGCCAGAACGGCCTGCATTGGCAACTGGCAGACGTGAACACCAAAATATTTGGAGATGCTTGGAGGATCTTGTAATGAAAAATGTCTGAAAATTTAAGGTGAGACAAAGGAGCATCAAAAAAGGCGATCTTGTAGAAAATGCTTAGGTATGAAATTGTAATCTAAAGTCACTCAAACTCTGAAAGCATCTGGAAGCGTGAACACGCAAGGGAATACAAAGGTCTTCCTATACTAGCCTACAAGGATCTACAAGGTCCTAGCGTCCCTACATGATCCATGTTCACTTACACCCGAGTCTCCACCAAATTCTAGAGCGCTTTTGCCAAGCCTCCATCCGCTGAGATCATTTCTTGCCTTTCTACTTCTTGACCATGGCCATCCTGTTCTCCTGCCGGCTCATTGACAATCTCTCAATAGTAAACATCTGCAAACGTGTCTACCACACAACACTCTAGAGAATGGACAAAATTGGGGCCATGATGGGACACATGTGCTTTAAAACATGGGTAGGAATGGGCAAATTTACCGCCAACCAGCACACGTCTCCAGGCGGCTGCATCAAGGTCTGAGCTTCAGGTTCTTCAGCAGCACCATCATCTGGTCCTGGCAGCAAGCACTCCATTGCAATTGAATGGCATGTATACTGCAGTTGTCATTGCTTGGATATCTCTGAATGCCCTTCCACTTTCTAGTCTCTCTCAAGCCTCCAGTCTTCGGTGCCAATTCTTCATCATTGTCAGGGATAGAACGGCCTGCATTGGCAACTGGCAGACGTGAACACCAAAATATTTGGAGATGCTTGGAGGATCTTGGAGATGCTTGGAGGATCTTGTAATGAAAAATGTCTGAAAATTTAAGGTGAGACAAAGGAGCATCCAAAAGGGCTATCTTATCTTGTAGAAAATGCTTAGGTATGAAATTGTAATCTAAAGTCACTCAAACTCTGAAAGCATCTGGAAGCGTGAACATGCAAGGGAATACAAAGGTCTTCCTACACTAGCCTACAAGGATCTACAAGGTCCTAGCGTCCCTACATGATCCATGTTCACTTACACCCCAGTCTCCACCAAATTCTAGAGCGCTTTTGCCAAGCCTCCATCCGCTGAGATCATTTCTTGCCTTTCTACTTCTTGACCACGGCCATCCTGTTCTCCTGCCGGCTCATTGACAATCTCTCAATAGTAAACATCTGCAAACGTGTCTACCACACAACACTCTAGAGAATGGACAAAATTGGGGCCATGATGGGACACATGTGCTTTAAAACATGGGTAGGAATGGGCAAATTTACCGCCAACCAGCACACGTCTCCAGGCGGCTGCATCAAGGTCTGAGCTTCAGGTTCTTCAGCAGCACCATCATCTGGTCCTGGCAGCAAGCGCTCTATTGCAATTGAATGGCATGTGTACTGCAGTTGTCATTGCTTTGATATCTCTGAATGCCCTTCCATTTTCTAGTCTCTCTCAAGCCTCCAGTCTTAGGTGCCAATTCTTTATCATTGTCACGACCATCATGTACACCTGCAGCGCCCTGTCAAAAGTTGAATATATTCAAATGAATAAAGGATATGGATATATATATATATATGGATGGATATGGACAACTCAAAAGGCACCATTGGCACAGCTCAGAAGCATTCACAAAAATGCACGACCGTCCATGCCGTTTTTCATCCCAGAATCGTTCAGAGAAAACACCATATCCCGTGTTGGTGCTCAAGTCTCTGACTGAATGTGTGAAACTCAAAGTGTCACTGGGTCTTGATGAGGCAGCACCCAGGATAAAGACAAGATCTTTCAAGGTTCCAATGGGATCCGGTGCATTGTGTCCTCAGCACCCACTTGATCAATCAATCTCAATCACAATTGGGAGCGCAGGGGACTTTGAGAGGATGCGCCGCGGCTTCCGCTGCCATGCCTCAAGCCACACCTCAATACAGTACATAATGTAGGAAAAGGTTGGAAAAGGAATGACAATGAACACAAATGAACATGGAGACCTCAGACCTACTCCCAAATGCTCAAAACCAGTCCCCCCCCTCATATACATTTCTAGCTCTGTTTCAGTCTTTGTTTCATATCTTCTACACTACAAAATGGATCAAAATGATGACAATTATTCAAAAATATTCAAGTATCGTAGTTTCTATATCCTATATCGTACAATCTCAAGACATTTCTGCCCTGGAAATATCCTTTATCTTATAGCATCAAGACATTTCTGCCCTGCAATCGTAGTTTCTATATCCTATATCGTACAATCTCAAGACATTTCTGCCCTGGAAATATCCTTTATCTTAGCATCAAGACATTTCTGCCCTGCAGTTTTTGAGTATAGAAAAGAAGAGCCAAACACTTGCCCAAGGGCCTCCCGAGTTCCCGGTGCTTAGATCCGGTGGATCTAAGCGCTGGAAACCTCTCCGTTAGCGCTGGAAGAGCTTCTGGAGCGCTGGAACCACTCCGAAACCTAGCTTCCAGTGCCCCGGACGGGTTCCCGGTGCTTAGATCCGGTGAATCTAAGCGCTGGAAACCTCCGGGCCTTCGTCAAGCAAAATTGATCTGGGATCAATTTTGCTTGATGAAGCCTTCCCGTAGATCAATTTTGCTTGACCAAGCCTTCCCGTAGATCAATTTGGCTTGACGAAGGCCCGGAGAGTTTCCAGCGCTTAGATCCACCGGATCTAAGCACCGGGAACCCGTCCGGGGCACTGGAAGCTAGGTTTTGGAGTGGTTCCAGCGCTCCAGAAGCTCTTCCAGCGCTAACGGAGAGGTTTCCAGCGCTTAGATCCACCGGATCTAAGCACTGGGAACTCGGGAGGCCCTTGGGCAAGTGTTTGGCCACATTGGCTAGCCAACCCAGGTCCATCACTGGGTTGCACAGGGATGCACACCCTCAGCCCCCCATGCCCATCACTGGGTTTCAAACATAGATGCATGTAAAATAGCAAATGAAATGTACAAAATGGAACAAACGTTCGGTGAACCTCATTATACATTTTTAAGGTGTGGGTGTGGAGACCTCCACCTAGATCCCTTCCATTTACTAGAATGTGAAAACTGAAACCATTGCATTTACTAGGTAGCCCAAGCGTCTGCAAAGACTGCTCGACAGAAACGTAGTGGATAAACTGCAGTGCTCTGTAAATCTTTCTGTCCTGATACTGTTCCATTGGAGTGGATCTTGTAGTCCTGTTTCTTCGATAAAACTCTTTTTGCCTGCAACGCAAGCCTCACCCGCTGCGTCATTTTGCGCTTAAGCTTGGAGGCGCCTGGCAAAGCAGCCCAGAGCTGTGTGCCTTTCTGAAGCCTATGACCGAAGCATCCGAGCCATGTGAACACCTTGGCTGGAGCCAGAAGAAAAATGAAAGGAACTACAACATACAAATATATTAAGGAATATTAAGGATTATTAGGGTAGGTATCCATAGCAATCCATAGCAATCACAACCATTCCCAAAGATATTCAAAGACGATTGCGCAAGCTACTCGCTTCAAGTTGAAGCGCGTGAGGAGCAACTTCATCACGGGAAGCTTCATCATGACACTGGACTGGGGTTGCTCCAGCAAGAAGTAAAAGTGTCGGTACGCAGCCAACTCGGTCAAGAAAGTCACCTGAATTTGGCATTTGGATAGTGTTGAAACAGGACCAAATTGGCACAAAGGAACACAAAGATATACAAAGCCTACACAGATTTGCGACCCAGTTGCCATGTTTATGACAATACGGTTGCTCAATCTCACCTTGAAGACGCGTTCATTTCCACGGAACTGATTATGCTGTTTACGTCGGTGAACACTTGAACTGAGGAAGACGAACAGGCCTTGGATCAGCAGTCAGCAGGCGCTCTCTCTCTCTCTCTCTAGAGGATGGTAGGGACTGTGGGGGAAGCACATGAAAACTGTTAAAGCTGAACAAAATAACTAGAAAATGACTTAGGATGGCGAGAACAAGTGGCTGCATGGAGGTGAGCAATAGAGTAAAGCACCAGGAACCAGAAGCAATCCAAGAGAAAGGAGGCTGAAGAAGCCCTCCTTCGTGGTTATGTCTTGCTGCTTGCTCCTCTTTATGTCAAACGAAGCTGTTCCAAGGCCCCTCTCTGCCCAAGGCTTGATCATTTTGCCGCTGGCCCCAAACAAGTCTAGAATGGTCAGCGTGCGCAAATGCTGCAAGCAATTGGCATCCAAAAAATCTCGGATTTCATCCAGGTGATCTTCTGCCTTGAACCTGAATGTGTTTCTTTAAAGCAGTCTGTTTTCTACCATGCCCATCCATCTTCTAAGGGAACTAGCAAAAAAGAATATATATACAGAACTATACTAAACATTACAAAATATACAAAATATACAAACTAATATTCAGACATATTCAGACCAAAAACCATTGAGATTCATCTTGGCCCCCAGATACATCATCAACTCGGACGCTGCCCACACATGTGGCGACAGCGCTGGCTAAGACAAGTGTCAAAGCGCGCAGCGTGATCACAAAGAGATCGTTTGACAACTGCTGACAGTACTCTTCTCACCTCTAAGACTTTGAGCCAAAAGCAACCCACAAACATCCACAAACATAGCCAATAACATCTAATAATCAAATTTGTCGCCTTTTGTGGAAACTAACACATCTACTCGCTTGAAAAGTTTGGCGCCTGCTCCAAGGCATCTTTCTTCTGGGCCTGAGGCAATGAGGCCACTAGAGAATGGCTGGGAAGAGACATCAGGCGCTTAGACAGTGGAAGGGTTTGGTATGGGTTTGGTTGAACAAGCATACATACCACAGAAAGGTGCAGCTATGCGGCATTGTCTGATGTGAGAGAAGGTATTGGATTCCAAATCCGACCAACTCCACCAAGTTTGCTTTCCAACTCATCAAAGCAGGCCACTTCCTGGGCCAAAGTCTCAAACGGATCCTGCGTCTGATGCAGCGCAGACTCCTGGGCACAGCGCCATAGTTTGGACTTGAATGTCAATATTGCTCTAGAACATCCTCTGATAGCAAAAACGAATGCTCTAGAAACCTCTAGAATATCCTCAGTGTTCATCAAAGTATATCAAAATATATCAATGTATATATATATATCATAGCATTCATCATCATATGCGTTGCCCAAACCTATCCTCGGCAGGGATTGCAGGCGTCTCCCCATCCTGCTTACTCTCCTGAACACAAAGCACAAGCGCATACAAGCGCACACGCACACACAAGGCCTGAAATTGCAAAACCATCCCTAAAACAGTCCCTAAAACATGGTTGGACATGGATGATTTTGAGTCAAGTCCCCAGGTCCTTCACATGACCAATTTCTTCTGTCTTGGAGTCCTGGCACGAGCAGAGTTGTTCGTTTTATCGCATGGCATGAATGGGCAACAACCTGGTATCATCTAGTATCTTTGATATCTTTCATTTGTATCTAGAAAATGCTCAGGAAAGGCAGGGAAAGGCATTTTTGTTCAAATGCTTTGCCCATACCTATCCTTGGCAGAGACTGCAGGCATCTCCTCAGACTGATGATTTTCCTCAAAGCAGCAGCCAGTGACGATTTGGACTATCATAACAAAAAAACTTGGCGCATATCAGGCCATTTTATAAACCCCCTTGCCTGACTCATTACCAACTCGAACCATTTTCTAGAGCGGGTGGTAAAAAAATAACACGCATATCAGGCCATTTTATAAACCCCCTTGCCTGACTCATTACCAACTCGAACCATTTTCTAGAGCGGGTGGTCAAAAAAACACATGCATAAGTTGATTCAATGTGATGCAGCTGAGAATCTTCTGCTGGCTGTGGCACAGGTTTTGCTAGAGTTGGCCTTGAAGTACTGATTCGCAACGTTTTCTCCCATGTTTTCCTGGGAGACCACAAATTGAATTCAGATTCAATAAAACTTGGTAAAGCTATAGATTGAAACATATTCAAACGAATTCCAAGTTCCTTTAACATCCCTCACACTACAAATCATAGACAAGGAACCCATTCCAGAAGTAGTGATGGTAGCTCTTGCGATTTGTCGGCGGAGGCCCGCGGACATCGCAGCATGTAACTCAGATTTCCAAAAAAATGACCGCCAGTGTGCACCATTAAGGTAAGAACATGTAAAAAATATAAAAAAAATAAGTTCAGGATTATTTAGGCATCCCGCGCAAGGATTAGGTTCATTGATATTTCAGAGGGGGGGGTCTACGTATTTTCTCCAAGAAACGCCAGCATCCTCTCTGTGCGTCCCACTCCGGAACCGAAACATTTCCCGTGCAGCTTCTAGCTGTGCACAGTGTAGGCCACCCTGGAGGTGGCGGCATTGCATCAGCCGTTTCTTAGCCAAAAAACTGAGCCAAAAATGGCTGAGGATGAAACTTGCTTTGCACCGTAGCGTTTCCATATCAAGCAGTTGTCTCTAGAAAATGGTTTCCTTATCGATTCTTAATGTTTCGCCAACTGTCTAGAAAATGCTCTTCGACCTATTTTGGTATCCTACTTTTTTCAAGCGCAAGACAACTTTGGATTTCCTCTAGGAATTGGTACGGTATGGTCAAACAGCAGACTGTCTAATCCATTAAAAAACATGGTTTATAGAAAATGGTGGGGTTCCAGAAATGTAGGGGGGCATGCCTCACTAGAAAATGACCCCCTTTCTACGGAACCCGGGTTGAACCATTTCCTAGAGGAAATTTTAAGGGGGATCAAAAAGGTGATATTCAACACATTGTCGTGCTCGCCATGTCTCTTTCTTACCGCTTTCTCCTGTCGCCCCTCAAACGGCATGGCCAGGCGTCGCCGTGCTTTGTGTCGGATACGGTCAAAGCTGCCGATCTGTGTTCCTTTCAGTGTGCATTTCTCGACGGAACACGTTCTCTGCACTGACGTGGATCACACGGATTTCAGGTGACAAAAGAAAACTGATTTCGCTGCGTGAGGCGTAGCCGGCGTAGACTTGCGCCGCATTGATTGCAACAAATAAACACGAACTCACCTTTGGATTTGAGCCAAAGCAACAGTTCAGTACTGGTCGTACAAAGCGGCGATTAGAAAGCTACATGATATGTGAGAAAGGCTCTTTGAGAGCCATTCTGGGTAGAGGGATGATTCCATCCACATTTGCAACACTGCGTCAGCGACTCCATCTCCGAGTTTCACAAATGAAAAGAAAAAGTGTGAGAAAGGAAACAAAACAAGGAAAGTGTGTTGGAAAAAACTTTCGCCCAACAGAAGCACCGAGAGGCAACGCTCCTTGTGAAACGGACATCGAATTCCGCCAGGCGGACACGGAAGTCGCGTCCCAAACTGTGGAGCGCTGTGTTCTGGTTCTTATCGAAGTAGCTACAGCTACGCTCCAGAATTTGGGCAAAAATGGACTGACGGCGGCCAAGGTGAAAACACAAAGGGCACAAATCGACTTCTCGACCTCTTGAGGAGGGTCTTCCCATGTCTTCCCAATCCGAAACCAGCTAGATTTGCATCCATGTCGACCTACGCGCGTCCATGTTCAACAATGCGACAATGCATTCTCTATGTTCTCCCCTTGGGCGGAAATGAAGAGCATACCACTTCGGGAGCCCCAAAGATGGACAAACGGCGGTAGCAGTCTGCGCTCACTCAACGTCCTGTTGCGCTCTGAAAGCGCAGAACAAACATAACCAGGAAAGGGCTTTGCAACGTGTAAGCAAATTGTAACTCGTGCAACAACAAAAACATGTAACAACGTCATTTGCGATGTCATGAACACTTGCACTCAATGCTGAGTGCACGTTGTTCCAATGGGACCAAGACGACTAAGCTAAGTAAGCCAATTTATTGCAACTCGTTTGGTTGGCGGCCTGTGATGTTGGTGTGGTAGATGTGTGTCACATCCTGAGGATGCAGTGATGCAAAATGATGCAAAGTGCAGTGGCTACAGTGACCTTGATAACTATATACTTTGGCGCACTTGCATGTCGAGAAATTTCCTTCCGTGTCCCTGACTGAGAGCAACAATGAAGAATGAATGCATTGCCCCCCAAAAATGAGGAACAGACTGTGTGTAGAACAACCTCTGTGTCTGTTACTTGCTAACTCAGAAGTCTAGAAACTGTTAACAGCAAACCCCGAATAAACAACATGTGGTATGTCGCAAACTTTTAGAACATCTCCCACAAGCGGGCTTTACAAGATGTCAGTGGTATGCTTGTCCAAGACTATTTATATATGCACAGCCTGAAACATGCAAAAGCCCACTTAACCATTCTCCCAAAATCAGATCTTAAACCCTCCAACTTTGTAAGCTTTACTTTGACCGGTTCGACCCTTCTTGTCAGAGCGCGGTCTCATTGCTGCATTTTCACGCACAGCGAAGGGTGCAACGCATGAGCCTCCAGGATCCAGGTTCGGTTTGCGTCGATTTTTTTCGGTCAAAGCGACCGGTGCATTCTCCTCAGGGTGCACGAGGGTCCTCCAGCGCAGTTTGTTCTTGCAAGGCTCCCGGTCTGAGATGTCGCGTCTGAGATCGAAGTTCTTGCGAAGATCTAGAGAGCAAGTGCGGCAGTCTGATTGATGAAGTTAGTCAGGTATAGGCCAAATGCATCCACAAATTCTAGAGCTGATCTGCAGCTGGACCAAGTTTGTCCTCTAAAGGTGTGCTGCAGCAGCAGCAGCAGCAGGAGGAAGAGGGGAAGAAGAAAAAAGGCTGTTGCAAGGTGCAGGGTGGTTGCCAACTGAGTTGTTGCAAATCTGACCCATTTGAGTGCAAATTCACGAAGCAGAAAAGACAATCAAACGGCTCATGGCGTACTAGTAGGTACCTAGACATTCACCGGCTAATATCAAAGGTGAGACACAAGACTCGAGAGATACTGCTGGTCAGCCAAAACAGTTGTGGACAGGACACCGAATAAACACACTTGTTCTATTGTTTCTCTCAAATAGAATAATAACTACCAAAATAAACCTGTTGTAAAATTAACACCAAGGACGAGTGTGTTCATTGTCTTCATCTGTGAGGCATTCTGTGAGGGCAAGGGTCCCATTTGCGACACCAAATCTGACTCATTGGCGACACAACACACGGTTTGGGGTTTAGGGTTTTAGATGGAGAGAACGTCGTGATGGAGAGATACGCTGCACCACAACTGAGCAAACACATCATATCCGAAAGAAACGATCTGCGACACATCCGAGTCCAATGTCCACGTCACAACGGAGACCCTTTCCCTCGGTGAGGCACTACTTTCCTGACGAAGCGTTCTTTGTTTCTCTCATGCAAATGCCAGAATTGAAGCAGACGCACATTTTTTAAAATAAATAAACAACAGAACATATTCATGAAGTCATCTGAAGTCCAATTTCAACTTTGTCCAAACTGAAAAGAAGCTGAAGCGGCGCTGTTTACACTTTGCATCCTTCTTTGTCGATCCTCGAGTCTGCAATTCTCAGTGTGATCCATGGAATCCATGACTGTTTGGGTTTTGCTTTTAGAAGACAGCTGTGACACCCGATTGTCTCGACACTGACTGTCGTCTATGACACAAGAAACCCTGGCACTTCCCGAAGAACGGCCAGAATATGAAGGGATACGAGGGAGGTTTTGAGTTGCAAGAAACTGCTCCTTGAGCGAACAACTTGCTAAGAGTACATAAACACATTCGAAGGCTATGCCGGCCTGGAAGAGTACTTCAATTGTTCTTCACTTCTGCCAGATTGAAACAAACTGCCACAATGAAGCATGGAAGGACTAAAGAAGGACTAAAGACACAGCCAAAGCGGTAGCGCACTGAACTTAGCGCAAAGGTAAGGACACGCACTGGACTTCTGCCAAGTCTCTGAGACAGTGTTACACTGTCCACACCGCACGTACCTGACCGGTCTGATCAGTCTCAGAGCGCAAGCTGCCCTGTCTTCTTGCGGAAAACAAGGAAACATACGCTTCTTGTTACTAGCAGCTTCTTGTTACTACTAGTAAGGCACTTGTTACTAGTAGCGATGCACTTGT